GCTTTTGGTAAGTAAAATCTGACGTCACACTTTTCATTTTGACATCCTGTCAGCTTCTTTCCTGAGTGTCATAAACAAGTCCTGAAATGTGCTCCCTGAGTCATGCACATATCAGAATACATCATTATACTGCATTATTTGCAAATTTTTATTGAAAGCTTGAGGACGTTTCCCTCCCTGTAGGGTAGGGGGTATACGTGTTACGGGACAAATGTGGAATTTGAATTTTATGAACTTATGAATTACAACACTAGGGTAGGAATTAGGAAATTTGGCAATTTGAACCAATGAAAAAAGAGCTTGGTCGTAGCCAATGGAATTGGACTTTAAGACATTTTGCATGACCAAAATTGTTGTAACGAACGGAAAGAAATTAGTGTAAAAGAAATTAGTGTAAATACCGAACGGAAAATTCAATCTCGGCAAAAGGAAGTGACAGATTTTTAGATTTTTTTTTGCATAGACTTCTAAAGGCGAGTCCAAACGATTAAAGCCATTTAACGTTAAAGTATAATATTAAAGTTGAAAAAGTGCCGACGTGCCTTAAAAGCTGCACTTTCATTTTCGTAGGTAGGGGCCTTAGGTGCGTTTTTTTAGGTACATTTTTTTTTTTGAAATTTCACTCGAGACTATTAGTACGTAAAGGACTTGAGTGACCTTTTACGTACATTAATCAGCGAACGACGAATTTTGTCTCCTACCAATTAAAGTTAATCAACAAAAACCAAAAATTGGACAAAATAAATTCGGCCATCCCATTGGCTCACGACCTTTAATGCCTTTAATTTAACGAAAATCTTTAATCGTTTAGACTCGCCCTAAATTGACACTTTTTTATATGAAATGCACACACGAATTGATAAATGCACACACGAATTGATAAATGCACACACGAATTGATAAATGCACACACGAACATTTCGCAAATTTATCTGACAGATTTTTGATATACTTTTTGATAAATGCACACACGAACATTTCTTACACAACTGCTATTGTAGATAAAATTATAACGCCCAGAGCATCCAAGCGTCCACGGGTAGGCCTTTAGAGGATGACGATTCGTTCTCGGTATGCTTCTTGAAGAGAAAAAAATCATTTATTTATGATACAGCGCCGCTGGTCCTCGGCGTAATATTGACGGCAACCCGGCTGTGGATAGCGAAGGGAGGCCTGTAAGCGTTTACACACATAGGTGAATGTATGTAAGAAGTGCTCCAACTACATCAATACTATGGACAAATTCGGCAACAGCATACAACCCCTGTTTAGTCCGAGCAATAACTTCTCTCACGGAGTTCCGATTCCACATCGCTTGAATGTATTGACGTGCGCTGAACAAGCACTTATAAGTCCAATTCAGCCTGTCACGGCGCCACATCTATTGAAATGGGGGACTTGGGCTGTGAAAGGACATACGTCGTATATAGATCGAAGTGACTCAATCCGGGAAATTGCGACAGTTCTACCTCGACGAGCGCATGAGGTTGAATCTGTAGCATTAAAGCGACAGACTAATCAGAATACTGTAAATAATAGTGATTTAAGATGCCGTAGACCATTTGTGTTACGTGCACTTAAATGGCTTGTTGTGAACAGCCCAGCATTCTAAGATGTCACAATATCACTGGAGAATCTTCAAACTTTACCTGAAGATAGCCAGCTCGATGTGTGTACTATAGACGCAGCAGCGCTCGATGACAGTGTATCAGCAGATGCATGGCCAGCCCCAGAACAATTGGCGACTGACGACATGAACGGCGAATCTAATTGTGGTATGGACGAAGATGGTAATGTGATAGAAATGGATACCTCGGGAGTTGAAACTAGGAATGCCGGCTGTGCCACAGGTTTTGCACAACGACATAACGGTGGTTTAAATAAACGTCTGGATATGAATGCCACATCAACTGACGGAGGCACTGAAAATATTCAGACCATCAACCAACATTTTGCTACGGAATTTCTGGACGCATCAAGGATTGCATACTTCGAAGGCAAAGCAGCTGAATTTCAAAGACGTGCACCCCGAGAAAAGCAACTCAAACGGTGGGAGTGGTGTGCATACCTGATAAATGCGCTAGACGGTCGATATGAGAAGCATCCGACTTTCAAATTTTCAATGCAGAACATAAAGGCACGACAGCACGGACGCCCCCGCTACCCTTGAAGAACTGCGTGAGCTACACGAAAGAAAACGCTTAAGTACCGCAAACAGCACAAATAATACAAGTACTGCAAATTCTACCAATGTTGGAGTGTAAACTACATGAGCTACTACAGCGGCAACGGAGGTGGGTAGACAACTTATGGTTGGATCACTGCCATTCAAATTTACAGGTTACAGTATATCAGTGAAGGGTATTTCACAATACTGGTGGGCTATGTTTCAAACACATAACGAACTACCATTGATTTTTACATTTGCAACCAGGGCAGAATATCACTGGACCAATCTTCATACCTGTTTGGCTAAACTGTTGAGGATGTGGAATCGAGACGAAGAAGCGGACCGTATTGACCCGGCATTAGAGACAGCAGGCGCTCGGCAGGTGCACGGTATATTACACGATGACTCACAGGTTATTTACAGGTACTTCGTACTCAAGTATAAAGCCTGGCTGAAGTTAGTACTACAAGAAGGGTTGAGAATCACTGACTGGTGGGCTAGGTACGAATTCGAAAAAGTAGAGTTGCAATCCATCTGCATTATGCAAGCATTGCTGTTCACGAAAAAAATCCTATCTAATGCTATATTCTCTGTTGGATGAAACACTTCGAGTATGTGAAATGCATGTCGAGGAGGATGCTGACCGACAGATTCGATCATATGTTGGAATGATAAAGAGAAGATTGCAAGAACTGGAGGAAAAAACAGCTAGAGAAATCATAGACACATTACCTCATGTTCTGACCGAGATAAAAGCACTGCATCCTTTGGGACAGAGTTTTACAAGAATAGCGTGAAGATTGCCAGACTTTACGAGGAGGCAGGTACAGAGAACAAAACAGTCCCTACCCCGGATTAATCTGAGAGAAGGGCTAAGTTGAGCAAATTGGCTTATGAGCTTGTGCGTGGGGAGGATGTTGCCGTATCTGACATAGGTAATGTAGACGAATGGCCAGGACATGAGTAAATTGCAAAAATCCTAGTGGATTTGATGTGATATGGACCAAAAAGCTCGAATAATACATAAATCTCACAAATACACGCATGTAGCTCCTATTGTCTGCGGATAACAGGAATGCAGAAGGCGTAGAAGAATATAGGTGTGAGTACTGTATGTATTTTAGTGTTGAAAATAGGCATGTAAAAGCACGTAGTGACGGTAGGCAAGTCTGCTCGAAATCACGAGGTGTCACAGCACTAGAGTGCAAACGCGACCACCCTCGAGTCGTACAAGGCTAGAGACCTCGAGTCGTACAAGGCTAGAGACCTCGAGTCGTACAAGGCTAGAGACCTCGAGTCGTACAAGGCTAGAGACCTCGAGACCTCGCATCCTGAAGCTAACAAGACGGTCGCAACTATTCTAAGCCTGAATAGACAGACTTTTACATACTGTACACACATTGTGTATACTATATGTGTGTGTAATATGCGAGTGCTGTACAACTTGCACCCAAATATCGAGAACGGTCAATGCACGAACTTGGTATAAAATTAAAATAAATATAGGATGAAGACAGGGCGGCGTGGGTGGGACGAAAGGAATATAGGATGAGGAAAACGTCCTATTTATATTGCTAGCTAAGCTAGCCAGTATAATCTAGGACTTGTAGAGCAGGACATGGAGCATGCTCAACTTATGCCGTTCCTACTAATCTCATAGAGTAATTATAAGGAGCGCATAATTAGAGCTGCACCCTGTTCTGCTCCCGAATTCCGTAGTACTATATTGAAGATAATCTTCCTGTAATAGTATTTGTTTCCTTCATCACTTGTAAAGTCCACACCGTTTGAGACAGAGGCTCATCGAACTCCGAGAAGACACCTGTTAGGCAATTGATCGGCGGCGGAGACTGCTTTAACCGATCGGTACGACTGAAGAGATTCCTGTTTAATGCGGAGCAAAGTGGAGATGACGTCGTCTGTTATCCGAAGGCTAAACAGACTCTCTGCCACACCCCTCTAAGAAAATTGCCACTGAATATGTTGGTACACGACCGCTGTCGAGAGGGTGCGTGCCTGGACAAACATATCCCGAATGTATACAGTTTTATGATCCGAGAGGCTTTGAGACCCGTGGTGATGCAATGGTATGCAGTTGGAAGATGTTGTTCCAAAAAGGCAAATGTCGTCCGGTCCACAGGCCGTGAGATCGTCTTAGACAAGCGGTTAGAGCGATGGTGTTGTTTGATTTTCCGCATATTGATAACGATGTTATAGTCCCGAGGACTAAATGTGATAGAATCAGGACCAAACTGCTTGATTGTATTCCTGTGTGCGTCAATGAGCCAGAGAAAGGCGACGAGCGCACGTTTCTTCGGGGCAATGCTTTTAGCCTGTAGTAGTTGGTTAACCCGTTGTTTAGTGATTTTGGGTTGGTCAGCTGTGATTTACGGATGAGCTTGTACCCACACACTCTTGTAGCCCTGTGTTGTATGACTCCAAGCTTCGTCCTGGATGGTGTGTAAGGCCAATTTCCGTGCTAGATTGTTGAGGGCTGCGCGGAGAAGACTGATTTCCGAAGGGGATGAACACTGCTGCCAACAAGTTAAAAAAATCTCGCATGTGCTCCTGTGTGTGTACGGCTTCCGTCACTCGTCGAGATTGCTTGTACATACGCTAGCCATAGTTTGAGTGCATGGTCATAGTTGTGGATAGTTTCTACTGCACGGCGCCTGGTTCCAAGATAGGTCGGATGCGTTTTGTATGATGTGTGGCCACCACAAGGCCCGTTTCCGAACTGGAACTAAGAGTACTACTCATTGAAGTCGACTGTTGAATTGCGCAATAATCTTTCCTAGCATGGTCTCGGGAGGGGCCAGGAGTTCCAACGACTGGTCCCACTTCTGGTGAAATGGGCTGGCGAACTTGACTTGCGCATGACGTGCGTTGAATATGTAGTAGCTGGAGAGATAATCCACTGTCGACGGGTCTGGTGTTATCTTCCACCTGTTGAAGAAATGAAGAATATTCTGAGATCGAACCGTCCAGTGGTATTCCAGAAGCTTCCCCGTTTTGGAGAGATCGCTTGCTAGGCATGAATCCCAGCATGACTGGCCATAGTACTCGGTGACGATGACAAAACCAGAGAATCGGTTAGCCACAGATGTGGTACGACGCTGACCCCTTCCCTTCCGTGATAAAATTCGAAAGCTAACACGAGTGTCTTTAACTCTAATACCGCTATCGGCCATCTTTGCTCCGTTTTGCTCCAGAGGCCGGCGAACACTGTGGTCCTCCCCTGGTGGTACAGAGTAGCTCCGAAGCCGATTTTGGAGGAGTCTGTGTCATTGTTGCCTGATGCTCCGGGAGCTAAATTGTCTGGAGTGAAAATTTCGATGAGCAGATTCTATTACGAGGTCATGTATCAGCCACCAATGGGAATCATATATAATAGTACGAGCCGCCAATGAGAATCATCTATAAGTATCCGAGCATCCAATTATGAGCAGTACAATATGTCACTGTACTTGGAATGTACCGATAGTTGCGTAAATTTATTTGGAGCCTGAGCCTTGAATATTGGGCTAATAGAGTAGCCAATTTGAGCCAAGTTTCCAGGGAACGGAGTTTACATAGTTTCATAGCGATCAACACGCCCCCCTAAAATCGTAAGGTACATTCTGTAGAAAATCAAATTTGATGAATTTGATTTAAGTATATAATGTCGCATTCTATTATTCATATTTTAAATTGTGTAATAATGCATCATGATATTGGTTATGAGATAGTATGTTGAAAATATGGAGTATGAATCGCAAATATAATGACATGTTGTTGCTCTGTAGCTTGAAACATGTGACCTTTGTGGTTTTATGGCTGCTCTAAAATTCAAATATTTGCTCTATCACAATTTTCAAAATGTGTGATCGGTAATGTCCAATAATATATTTATAATATTAACATCGAGGGGCTTGGATCCGTGTGTCATCGACAAATAAATAAGAGCGGAGGAGCTTGGGCCGAAATTGTGCTAGCGTGACAGCTAAGGAATCCATGTAGATAATAAAGAGCTGGGGGCCGACGATTGAGCCTTGTAGGATGCCATTCGTTCTATGGAATAGAGACGAGAGCGTGCCGCGGTATGTCACTCGGGTAGGGACCCTCCCAAACAGCGCGCGGAGGCAGTTGATCCAGTTTTCGGGCATTCCAGCGTGACGCAGAAGTACCCATAGGCGTGGGAGAGGGACCTTGTCGTATGCCTTGGTTATGTCCAGACAGACGTCGTTCCACTCCTCTTCTGACTGTGTCTCAGATTCCATGGCGGCAAGTGCTTGGGTATGACAGGAGTACCGTGATTTGAAGCCAGCTTGGGTAGCATGGGTAGCAGAGCCGGGGTGGCTCGTAATCAGATTAAGAAAGCACTTTTCAAAGATGCGTCTGACTATTTGCGTAAGCGTGATGTGGCGGAAGTCGGCGGGGGAGGTGATATCTGCATCGGCTTTTTTTGGGTGCGCTGTCAGGAGGCTGCAGTTCATGGCTGCGGGGAAGGTACCCGCCTTCAGTAGCTCAGTGAATGCTTCGACAAGGAGTCTAATCAGTGGCTATTGGCGTCGGGGCGTCCTAATGTCCGGCGTTCGGTAGAGCGCTCCACTGCGGCCTTCAGGAAGAGGATGTGGATCCCGTCGGGGCCAGGTCCCTTATTGGAATAGCGTAGTATTGCCTCCATTACATCGTCGGGGCGTATGGTGGAAGTGACATCAGGAGAGGGTTCGGTATCCGGTGGAACCACGTACGGGTTTGTAGAGTTGAATAGGGCCTCAAAGTAGCCAGCGAGGGTAGCGCCTGTGTCATCGGTACCCGGTATGCAGGGTTGGCGCGGAGACCATCGTTGGTACGCAATATCTTTGAACATTTGAGCATTGCTTTGGGCGGTCAGACGTGGGCGGAACGAGTGGTTTGGCAGCCGCTGAACTCAAGGTCTGTTTAAGTCATAATAGAACCCTCCAAAGATTTGTGGGTTAGTGGCATAGCGCCAGATGCGGTCTAGGATTTGTAGCAGCCCTTCCGCTGGTCCATGTAAAGTGAGATACGACCGTAGTAGGTTCTGATGTGCCCGGATTTCGTCTTGGAATAGTCGCGCGCGGGATTTGTTGCGTAGGTGATACAGCCGATGGCGATATCGGTTATTTCCATGGGAGGGGAGGCGGTGGTCCGGAGGCGGCGGCATTGCTGGCATTTGTTGGGGCCGATGGATTTAATTCGTGGGAAGTATCTGGAGATCGAGTCCAAAGGTGTGGTCACCACAGATACCGTAGTCCGTCAGCTTATAAGTTTGGAGGGAGGCGGGGGTGGTAGGTCGAAGATACGCATGTTCAGTACCAGTTGAGCCGCCAGCATAGAGGTAGTCCAAGTGCCACGTATTACGCAGAGTAGTTTCAATCGTTTTCATACGTATTCCGTGATTTGTAGATGCGTGGCCATACTTCCGGGCTTTGAAGTTGAAATCTCCTCACACGACATCTGGTTGGAAACCGCCAATCTCGGGGGGATTTATGTATCGCCTGACGTCTTCTTCAGTAAGCGATTTGAATACATATAGTATCACGTTTCTGTGAAATATCCAAGATGTTATTCATAAACAGAATTAACATGCTCATGTTAGTTGACGAATGAGTGATAGTGTGTCGTTGACACATGTCATTTGATTTAAGAATTATATTGTCGGATCGATAGCCGGTTGTCACAAAAGTAAAAACCTGTAATACGCCATTAGGCTCTGGTTTGATAGTAGGCATGATTGATTTGCTATTGGCAGGTATGAATATTATTCGTTTATCTACTAACGTTGATCCGCAGAAGTATCTATGGCCTGGTTGGAAAAGATAGAGGTATCGCAGTAGACCACGAGCCTGCCCCAGTAAATGGTGCACTTTTGGCAATCGACTAGTTTGTTCTAGAAAAGATTTGAAGAGGGTGCGAACATGTTTGGATATGAGCTCTATCAACGCTCCTATAACAATTACAATTTCCACTTATGTTGCACTTACTAAGAAATACAACGAGTTACTAAGATGAATAGAAAAAGCCACGATTTTCTCCACTATTGATCTAAAGCAAGGCTATCACCAAATCTCATAGTAAGTACTTCACGTTTACTTGGGATGAGCAACTGTACTCATTTACAGGAACTCCGTTTGGTCTACATATGTTAACATCGTTCGTCCAAAAAAACATGCAAGACATGTTTCGAGATTTGGCCAACGTATAGGTGTATATACATGACATAAGGTAGAAGTAGAACACGACAGAGTTGTAAGTGGTCTTGGCAGGACTGAACAAATACCACTTCAAGATCACCAGCAAAAATGTCACTTCGGAGTTAACGAAATATAGCTTCTGGGATACCGTGTATATGGTGATGGGAGCATGGTTGATCACGAAAAGGCACAGGACTTGTTGTATTGGAGAACACCTACCACTGGAAAGGATGCAAACAGCATGTGCGGCTTCGGCAACTTCCTGTTATATGGAGTTCCCCACCTAGCAAGCTACCTATAATACGCATTTTCGACATTTAAGATGCCACAAAGTCAAATTAGGAGCTTTATCCTGTGATGATAATTTAAGCAGCTCACAACGTTGGTTCAACAAGCACCGGTAGTTCAGCCACCAAGAGACGGAGTACAATTCATGGTAGCAACAAACGCATCCGATTTTTTCAGTTCTTGCTTACGAGAGTTATTTTCGTTCTTAATGTTAAATTCGTCATACATTTATTGTGATGTGCACACGTACACAGTGAGAAGAATCGATAAAAGTAAAAGCAATGTAGGTTTTTAAATTTTCTATCTGGATGCTGGATGGTTATCGTTCTCGGATATGTAAATGCCTGATAGACAGTGCCCAGGTGTATTTTAGTGGATAATATGAACATGTACAGAGTTATAACATACTCGTGATCGCTTTGCAATCGAGTTGATTCGAATAAAAAATGGAAGCTGTAAAGGAAGGGATTTGGTTGATAACGACAGCGTGCTGTAAAATAGACCTTTTGTCAAAGAAAGTGAGAAAATTCAATTCGGTAAAAAGTATCCCACATGCAAACTTAAAATGCACATATACGATGTATATGTAGATTGGTGGAGGATGAACAATCGATATCACATTTGATACGAAAGATAAAAATGTTGGAATGATAAATTCGATACAAAAATATATGCAATGTTTTGTTCAGGTGATCGATAAACTCAGGTGATCAAATACAGAAATATTCATATTTGCACTATTCTAACGATGGTCTGAATGAAACGCAGGCAATTTAAAACCATTATTTGGCTTGTAAAATATCTTTACAAAATTCAGAGCCTAATGAAATACAATGAATAGGTATGTTCGATTGATCAGTATGAGTGTAGACGAGCAGTATCAATGTGACTGGTAGTTTCATGGAGGGACGCACGCTTCCTTCAAATTCACATGAGACAATTCTTGTTGAACTACTTGTGTATGCCTGCTATATTTCCTTGTTTTGCAACTGCATAAAACCCTTGTGCATGGTGGGACCATAAACCTCTCATTAGAGGTGCCGGCTATAAAAGGTACAAAAAGTTCAACGAAGTAAATTCAATATATATCCTGAATACACAGGTAATGCAACATTTTTCACCGCAGGATCAGACGAAAAGAATCAACCTTTATCATTACTACCACAAAGCTACGGAATCATAGATATATTAACATCAATATCGAGTGAAGCGATCCGTTGGGGGTGATAAAAAGAGTGCCTTAGTATTGAATACGACAACCCATGTATTCTTTTTCGACTACTTATCCCGGCATGAGATAGATAATTTTGCAATAGAAATTTATATATATATATATATATATATATATATATATATATATATATACAACACTTTATGACACTAGTGATGTGGTTTGATTTTGTGGCGCTGTCCTGGCTCCTCCGACAACGCGACGGCAAAGTTCAATATCAAAGCGATAAGGAATACCAGGGACACCAAGATGGGACCAAGATATGCCTGTAATGAAATAGATGGACAGTTTCAATGAGAAATTCGAGAATGGTATTAGTAATGAGCTAACAGATGATCGTTCATCATATTGCCCGCACGAGCTCCGACCCCACATACAATCAACATGAAAAACAATCCTGCAAGGTTCGTTTCGTGCATGCCTGTATTAGACATAGAGTATAAGCAGAACTTCATACTAAATCGCACGGCAAAATGAAAGAAAAAACGACACTATCTAGTTCTAACACACCAGAACAGCACACACAGTTGTTCAAGTAAAAATTCAACTACATTAATGCAGATCAAGTATCGCGCCGATTACAAACTATATCAAGTAAGCTTGTATACACAATCGAAATTTACTGCGCGTAAGCGAACACGAATACAGTACAAAAAAAAGGGTCTTCTTGATGAACATATAGCCGCTCAGGGTTCAACTTTCAGCAGAGCTATGTGTCCAGAGATCGTATTTCCGTAAGTTTAAATGTGCGTACACATATCCATACCTGGTACGGACCCGGCGATCTAATACTTAACTTGCCAGACCTGAATTGGTACAGCCATAAACCGTATACCAAGCATGTCATGGCACTGGGCACCTGAACGAACAATGTAAGCCATATAGTTAAATGCTGTGAGTATAGAAGTACGCGAGGATTCAATACAACAGACACACTCGGTATGAGCAGGCAGGTCTGTGAGAAAAATCGATAGCATACACAACAACACTCATCGTATTCCTCGGTAACGAAAAAAAACAAAAAAACTCAAGTATGTGATATAGCACGCGATTCTTGCATAGTTACTGTTAGCAAATTACGATGACGCATACACCCCATTCGCTGTATACGATATGACAGAGAGAAAGCCATGGGAATGTCTTTGACAACCCGTGCGCCATTAAATTCGCTCGTGCAACACTCACAGCGGCGAGGTTTACGTTCACGTATGCATCGTTACATGCTCATAGCGTAGCAAGGAAAAAAAAAGACAGTTTTGATTTTCATATGCTATGTCGATGATCTCACTAACCGAAAAGAATACTCAGTGATAAAAAATAAAACACAAGACCAGCTTATTAAGGTGATTGATATCTGTTTCACTGCTTCAGAACGATCCAGAAAACGTGCGCTCATCTACAATTGTGCTCATACGAAGACTTACCAGCATGGCACCGGCAATACGGGCCCATCTATAGGCCTTGTCGTCCGGGGACAAATGCATCATGGCCAGACCTGTAATGATTTATGTTCAAACTGCAATCAATGTTCTGCACTAGCCTCCGCACATAACCGGCACAGGAAGTAATACAAAGAGTGTATCTAAGTGGTGCATGTACGTATTATGTGTCATTTTAGTCAGACAGACTATCAGGCCTACAAACAAGAATGCACACAAAAACTATAGTACTGCAGGGAATGAACGACTCTAAAAAATCCCTCGAAGAGCTCAAGTGATTAATATTGGCATGCTCGTGTTTACCATATACCAAGTCGGATAACACATCCTCGTCATAAAAATACCATTTATAATATAGGCCATTAAAGCGATAGACAGTTTTTCGTGCTTGTGCCATGTACAAAAGGTCTGTGTAAAGTCTGGGGTACGCTTTCTACCTTTGCTGAAGGGGTTTAAGTCTAGAGGCTGGTGAAAATGACACATCAGCTCAACACAAATTTCCGGGCATATGTCTCTGCATTGCCATATATGCAAGTTCTGTGCAAGACATGAGGAACGCCTTTCGCCTATGTCGGTGAAGTGCAGTGTATACATGTTGGTTCAGGTCAACAAATCGGTTCAAATATAGCCTGATCATATATCTCTGATATATATATATATACAATATTTACATACATACATAAAGAATATATATATATATATATATGTATATATATAACATAGGAATATTAAAAATGTAGAAGTAGTATACACTTGTAACTACGAATATAACTATAACTATTAAAACCTATACATTATATATATATATATATATATATATTTATATAATATATATATACATATATATATATACACATACGTGCACACACACGGACACACACGAACACACACACACGTATACACACACACACACACATATATATATTCGTATATACATATACACATATATACATGTATTTATATTTGTATGTGTACATAAATATACGAACAGACAAACACACATGTACACACACGTATACGTGTACACACACACACACACACACACACACACACACACACACACATATATATATATATATATATATAGTATATATATATATACACACACACACACACACAC